TGTGTGTGTGTGTGTGTGTGTGTGTGTGTTCTACTGATTGATGCATTACTGAGCGGCGGCTGCTGTCGGAGGAAAACTGCTGAGGAGATGTGACACAGAAAAATCCAGCAGCACAATTTGGTTTAAAAACAACATTTTCATCCTCATCATGATTCTTAATGTTCTCGTTTCCTCGCTCACTGTTTGTAACGAGCCCGTCACGTTTGCAGCAGACGATCAGGGAACATGTTGATCACAGGTCGTTTGTCTTATGTTCTCATGTCAGATACGTTTAATTTCTTTAATTTAATTTCAGCTTGAGGACAAATGAGTCTGCATCTGTCGGGAAGTTCAAACCGTGTTTCTCAGTTCTGGAGTTTTCTTTTATTATTGTTGTAAATTTTCCCCTTTTCTTTCGTGTTATTTACTAAAAGTACTTGACGTGTTACTGGCCACTAGAGATGTTGGAAAGAAAAGTCGTCTTTTTAGGAACTTTCACTTTGAAACTGTTGATTTGCTCCTTGGTCTCTGAGTGACGGCTGAAATTAGAATCTGGGTTTATCTGTAGAGGAGTGGGTCAGGTTTTGTTTTTGTATCATCACCGGATCAGATGATTTCATAAACTGAATAAAATGAGGTGAAATGTTGACGGACACTATTTTGTTGATTGAGATGAATATAATAGAAAGTCTTTGTTGTCGTTGTATAACTCTGCATACAAAGAGATTAGAATGTGTGAAATATACTTGATTTTAATGATTCGATCACAGTTTATATTTGCAGGATTAAAAACGTGATCAGCACAAAATCAACGTAAAATAATATAAATTGATTTAAAAGTTTACATTTTGCAGCACGGGAACTAAAAACTGATCCACTCATTAAAACTATTGTTTGAAGCACAAATGTTGAATATTTGATGGTTAAATCTCCTCAGATGTTTGGATTTGATTGTTTTCTCCGTTACTCACTTAAATAATAAAACCTGACGTAACATCCTGCTGTCGGACATCGTGATCGATGTTCGTTAACATAGAGTGAAGTTAGATTTGCTCTGATTTTCAGTCACATCCTGGTAATAAATGTCCCCAGCTCGTTTTGTCACGTGACCAGTTTTAGCTCCAGTGCTAACATCAGACTTTGTGTTCGTTCTGCGGCTCACAGAGAATCTGTGACATCTTTTACAGTGTGAGACGTCGGCTCGTGTTAATGACGATGAAAATAAATCACGTGATGATGCAGTAAACTGTGGATCAGCTGAAGATGCTCCAGGTTCAGCAGGTGGAGGGGTTTTATTGGTTTTTTTTTTATTTCAGCGTGACTCAGTGAAATTCTACCAAAACCTTTTTTTTCTGCTTGATGCTTTGTTCATCTGAGTGAATCTCTATTTTGTACAGTGTCCAGGGTGAATGTACATTTCTGTTCATCTGAGTCTGGAGTTTGAATAATCTGAATAATTGGACACGTTAAGACGTCCGTTCTTCCGTCAGATGAACAATGTCTCTCCATGTTTTTATCAGCTGGTTTTGGTGTTGACTTCTTGTCAACAACCAGCGGCTTGAAGGGAAGTTTGTGTGAATGAACATAGCAATTCCACATTTCTGCTGCATTAAGTCAGCTCAGTCTCCAGGTTCATTTGAATGATTAGAATCTAAATTACTGAAGCCACACATGAGGAAACATTTGAAAATATCTTGTGTCTGACTCCATCACCAGCTCAGATGACGTTTTCTCACTTCAGCTGCAGAAACAAGAAATTTAAATCATAACATAAAAACAACTTCACGTTCTCAGACTCTTCACTGAGCAGAATCCTCAAAGTCCTGAGGCTCTAAATGCTCAACGACAGGTTTGTTCAGCGAAACTTTCTTTGAGTGAAAACTTTGTTTCTCTTCCTCCTCAGTTTTCTCCTCATGTGTTTTCGTCTTCTGCTGGTTTGTGTTGAACAGGTGAATGTTGCTGGGACGTTTTTTAGATTTTGAATCAGTGGTGAAAAGGGGCGTGAATTAATTTTATTTTCAGAGATTCTGTCCTTGTGAAATCAGATGGAAAAGTTGCACTCGAAATAAAGTTTGTCACATTTGGTTTAATTGATGCTGTTTGTTTTTATTCTTTTAAAAAGTACGAACAGAAGAAGTCAGTTTTCAAGCTCCAATAACTTTGTGCTTAAATTAAACATTTGTAACAAATTAGTGTGAAAAACTGAAGGAAATTTTATTTTGTTTCCTTGAGTTAAAATTTCTGATAGATTTTGATTTAGTTAATTGAAGATATTTTAGGATTCTTCTCCTGTAACAGCACAACAATATATTTATTTTTATTAAATTCATATTTCATAATGTTATGTCAATGTAAAAACATTTTAATGAAGCTCAATCAATTCCAGTGTCAAAAGTCTGAAAGATACTGAGCTCCAGTGATTTCTTTATGTTATCGCTATAATCAGACTGCAATGATTTCATTTGTACTTGAAGAAAAGCACTAAGAATTATAAGGAGATTCATTTGTGGATAACTTAAAGAATTAAGACAAAAAAATGTAATTCACACAAACGAGTATTTTGAAAAATATTTAAAGGATGGATTTAAAAACCGATGATTCAGATCTAATCTCAGCAGATTAAAATTAAATTAATCAAAACAGTATTCAGTTACCAGATAATTTACTGATCAGTCATATGAACGTTTTATAAAAATGTATTCAGCCTTTTACACTAAATCGTGTTTTTATGTTATGTGTGTAAATTGTAAAGTAACTAAACTGACAGAAGAGAAAAGTTTAACTAAATTAATTCTTGTTTTCACATTTAAGTTATCAAGTATGTTAATATATCAAATCAAAAGTATTGAACTATAAAAACTAAATTAACCTTTTAAGTATTTCTCTATGATAGTAAATTTACAGTATTTCACTGTATTTGTGTAAATGTAGTAAAAAGTTCAATGTTTCTCTGTAATGTGACGTTGACACCAGTTGAATAAAATGAGTACAGTAGTAAAGTAAAAGTACATGACCGGTTTTAAAGTACAGTGATTAAGTATTCTAATTGATTAATTATAATATTCTAATTGATTAATTATAGAACACGTCAGCAGTGTTGTACTGTCCCTTTAATTCCAAACGCAGTAGGAACCTCTAGAACCAATAACGGTCGTTCCCCTCCGGACTCATCTTCAAGGTGCACCGCATCACAAACGGCTGATTGTTTCTCAATCTTGTGAAATAATCGTTAAATGTTTCCGTGTCGTGTTTCCGCTTCTCTTCCGTCCACGGTCACTTCTCACCGGACTCTGACGGAGACGCGGTGCCGGTAAAACCCAGACGAGAGCGGGAGATGTTCGGACCCGGAGCGGCGGCGGTGTGACCCGCTACATGCTACGTGTCCGGTGACGGAGCGAAGACCCCGACACACCAATATGGACGCTCACAGACACGACCAGGGTTCCACCGCTTTGCTCTAGATTCACCCGAGCTCATGTTCACAGGCTGCGGGGACGAACCGCTTCGTTAGCCGGCACTTAGCACCGGGCTCGGTCCGGACCATGGAGCCGTGAGGACCGCTGGAAGTGACCGGAGAGGGACCCCCGAGCCCCGCGGAGCTGCTGTCGGTGTGTCGGTGTTCGAGGCACCGGGAGAAAACATGATGTATTCATCGAGAAGAAAACCGGTGCTGTACTTCAAAGAGGAGAGGAGGTGAGTCCGATTTACACACCGGCTCACCAACGACTGGCACGTGAGAACCTGGGGTTCTAAACCTGGGGTTCTAGACCTGTGGTTCTAAACCTGTGGTTCTCAACCTGTGGTTCTAAACCTGTGGTTCTAGACCTGTGGTTCTAAACCTGTGGTTCTAGTCCTGTGGTTCTAAACCTGTGGTTCTAAACCTGTGGTTCTCAGCCTGTGGTTCTAGACCTGTGGTTCTAAACCTGGGGTTCTAGACCTGTGGTTCTAAACCTGTGGTTCTAAACCTGTGGTTCTC